TATGCTTTAACTCAGCCCGCTTAAAAATAAAAAAATTGTGATATTCGATAATATATTTAGCTAATTAACAAATAATATGAAAAGAATATTTTTAAAAAAAATTATTATACTCTCTAATAAAACGAAGTGCTAAATGATTTAAAAAAAAGAATAAAATACGCGAACCTTTCAAATTTTTTTGTATAAACAAAGTTAATTGACTTAATGTCCAAATCCAAATGACAAAAATAAATTTTGTTTTAACTTTATTTCTAAACATTAAAACAACAAGATTTATAAATTTAAAATCAGTAATAAAAACTCATTAAATTATTAGAAGTTTCATCCAAAAAGTTTTTAATAAATTAAAAGAAAGTAAAAAAATAACCTAACAAATACAATTCTTTATGGGAGCCGAAATTAGATTGCCGATAATTTTCACATTTAAAAATAAAAAGAAGTTTTTTTAAAAAAAAAACTTATCTAATTAATGAAGAAACTCTTCTTTATATATTCTTTTCAATAATAGATTGCCTTCAGAACAAGGTAACATCGGCGATCACGAAGTTAGTCCCACTGAAAATAATCTACAAGTAAAGTCGCGACAACGAAAAAAATGATACGAAAAAAACGATATGTGTTCTCAAAACTCTGATTCTACAGCTCACCAATCAAGGCCATTTCAACATAACGAAACGAACATCGTTTTCAACAGCGCGAGTCGACATCGGAACGTAAGAGAAGAGTCTTATATCACTATATCGTTCTTATATCCTTGCGTGTCTTATATCGTTTTGCGCTCGTTGCCTATACTCGACGGCTTAAATCAGATTTCAGATGCATCGCCTTGAATGAGAGTCGCTGTATCGTCTTGCCGATATATGCGTTAAATCGATATGTCTCGATACATCGATTTATAGCCCAGTCCTAGTTACAAACCATAAAGTATACTATATCAAATACTAGTATCAACACAATACTTTTTCCTTGGTTGAGCAAGATTTTTATTCAACCTGTCATTAAATGAATAGTTGAGTTGTTAAAATTATTATCTCTTTATTCTTTTGATGATGAACCTGATAATTTCAGAAAGAAACTAAAATAAAAAATATAAAAACAATATCGTTCAAACTCAGATAATTTGGACCAATGTCAGCCACAATAATAAACACACAAACATTTCCAATGCTACAACTCTAAACAAAATAGTATAAAACATTCCCTACAAGGTACTTTTTTTCAGTACACAATGCGAATGGGGTGGTGCTGAACTATTTTGGTTTCAATGTTTATGTTTGCCGCATAAGTAAAGCAAGGAAAAGACGTTTAACTGGTTCCATTATGTAACAAACTCTGCTTTGTGTATGCACGAGAAAGGGAAAACATCTTTGCACGCTTCAGAACCAGTTTTTGTTTAGATTCAGAGCAAAAAAGAGGACTTTTATAGGACACTTTATGCTTAGGTTTTATAATCGATTAACAGTTAACTTGGCAACGTCACAAAATCAAAACTTGACTAGTTCTCCATTGAATCATGAGGTCAGAAACCAGTTTTTGAGGTAAAACAAGTTTAATGCTAACAAAAAAGCTAAAAGTAATACATTTTATGTTGAAACAAAATCATATCAAACTTGTGTATGTTATAGATATGTTACAAAATTGTTGACTTCCACTGTAGAATGTCGACAATCACATAGTCGCTTTGTCATCACATAGTCACAAATCTCTGAAATATATACTAGGTCTAGTTAAATGGCAATGCCCAGTATGCATTTAACCGGAACTCTGATGTTACTCCTAATCTATCCTCAGCACATATTAAAATATCGAATGAATATAATAATTTAATATCAACAAATAAATTAATATCAAATTAGATGTAACAAATATTTAGGACATTCACCAAAGGACTACAATTGTTGACATTCACCGGCGATTGTCAACATTCTCTTGATTTCGGTCATTCACGGTAACATATACCCACGTTTCAATTAAAAGTACTAATACATCATTATATTTGCCAAATATATATATACAGAGATGCCAACTTGCTCCAGACAGCAAATATATATTTTAAAGTGGTAGTTTATCAATTGTGATTCTTGGTTTAATAAATTTAATTTAGTAGAATTTTATCCACCACTACTTCTAAATTAGCAGAGTTATATAATTCACCACTTTACAGTACTTAAGTCATGCTATAGTTTTTAAAAAGCAAGCAAAAATAGGCAAATAATTGAAAAAATTACTTAGTAGTTATTTACTGTTTTTTAAAATTATTTTGGCGTGCTCGGAGCAGTTGGCATCTTTGTATATATATATATGATTTGCCAAACATATTACTTATTTATTTAAAGGGTTTATTAATTATTAAAACCTCTATTGCATAATTTAGTAGGGGGAATAACTTACATGTACTTATACTTACTGAAGTAATAAGTACAGTGAAACCTGCCAAGTTGACCACCCTTGTAAGTTGGGCACCTGCATAAGTTGACCTCAATTATCAAGAACGAAATTTTTCCTATATAATATAAAGAAGCAAAACCTTTGTAACTTGACCACCTGTCTATCTTGTATGTTGACCACTGAAATAAGTCAATTTTATCTAGGAGTATTATGAAATTCTATTCTAAAACCCTCATAAGTTGACCAGAAAAAAAATTCAGAAAATTTTCTGTCATTTTGGCAATGTATGTTAAAATTTCACTTGTTTGGTGAAATAGTGTAAAAAGCTAATCTAAACCCTTTTGTGAGTTGACCATCAGGGGAAACTGTAAGGGGCCAGCTTTTGACCATTTCTTTCATCTGTTCATTGAAAACAGGTGTGTTAGTTGAAAAGTTGCTCTTCCAGTTGCAATAGTGAGCATTTGAATAAATGAATGCTGAATCCTTTATTTATGGTCTTTGATCTTAAAGTGTAGTAAATAAATTTTAAAGTGTTCAAATAATTTTATTTTGTTAAAGTTTTCAAATTACATGTTTTCGTGTTCTGATATTTTAAGAAATTATATTTATTAAACACTTCACATGCATAACTAACGAAATAATTTTTAAAAAAAAATTAGTTAAATATTAGAAATATATGTATCAAATTGAAGTTCATTCAGGTTTAAACACATTTCTTAAGATATTCATTTGCATATTTTCTGAATAAAATTTTTAAGTCAAGTAAAAAAAAAAAATTAAATATATAGCAACATGATATAGGAAACGAAAAAGTAAACAATGACCCACCCCCTCTATAAGTTGACCACTAAAACAATGCACCACAAGTGGTCAACCTACACAAGTTTTACTGTATAAGTAACTACTGATTCTTTGTTAATAAGTAATAGTTACTATGGTAATAGATAACTAATATAAGTATATTATATGTTGTGATAAAGGGTTCTTTTATGGTTGCTCCCTTTGACATCTAAGTATCTTTTAGCAAATCAAAAGTCACAATAAAATAAAACCTTTAATAAAATCACACAAAAAAACTTCTCAAATATGTTTGATTGCAAATTCTGAAGGAGATCAGAATTAAGAAATAGGGACTAAGTATTAAGCTCACTAAGTTAACTTTAAGAAAATTTATAACAATTTGAATTTTATTCTGATGGTTTGTGCTGACAATCTTTTTCCTCATACATATTTTAAATAAGAAAATAAATTCTTAATATTTAACTCATTAACATGTCTTAGTACATTTTTAACACCTGGACAGAATGTATTAAAAGGATTTAATAAAATAAAAAATAATCAAATTTAATTAATTTTGAAACATATTTGCAACAATTCTTATTGAGCATAAAATGTCAGTGTAAGATTTCCATATTGGTATCTGCACCAAAATAATCTCCAAGTTTAGACGAATTCTAAGCCCATGGGGAGCTTGCAGCCACCTTCAGGCAAACTTCTACATATTTCTTTTTTAAGTAATTTAGCATATAATGAAGTTACAGAGATAAATGCATACATATTCTGATCATATGACTGTTTGAATATCTATAATCAGTATTTTTAGAATAATTTATATAATCACATTGTATGTTTCTCTCACTTTTGTGTAATTACTTCAAGGTTACAAAGAACCATTAAGTTTGATTGCAGTACCATTTCTTTTAGGGATAATAAATTTTTCTTAAAAAAATTGTGATTGCATTGAATGTAATTACTGTGCTCTTCACATTTATCTAAGAAATTGCAAGCAAAGAAAAAGTTTCCTTTGATTTGTACAAAATATAGTAACTTACTTTCATGTATATGTATAGAAAACTATTGTTTTGCAATAACTGTTCCTAATTGAAATGCTTTTAAAGGAGACAGTATTTACCTAAGGGGAAATAGTTATTTTATTATCAAAAAACTTTTTTTTCTTCAAATTTCAATTAATGAAAAGAAAAACATTTTATTTGACAACATTGTTAGTAAGCATAAGAATACTAAATTTGTAAAACTTAAGGAAATTAGTGATTTCCATTATCATTGAGATAAAGTTAAAATCTACTTACAAGTATTTAGATAGTTATGAATACATTCTGTTTTATGTTCCAACTATAGTTTGATTTAGAAAATCAAAATATTTACTTTAAGTAAAACTGAATAGCTAAAAAATTTTTTTTTATCATGTATAACATTTCTTCATAACTGTATTTATATAAATTTATTTTTTAAATTTTGAATTGGAAGTTTTTTTGACACTTTTATGTTCTCTTTTTACTCTTATTAAGATTTGCATAATTTAGACTATTTAAACAATTGGTTTTACTTTTTTCACTTCACTGACTCCTATGCAGAGACATGAAAAGTTAAAACTTTTAAATTTTTGTATTGTAATATTTTGTTAGCAAATTAATTTTATTATTATTATTTGTTATATAATGATGTTACATTATGTATTTTAAATTAATGCTTACATTAATACAAATAATATTTTAAATTAATCAGAGTGCAAAAAGTTAAATTATATTTTTAATTGCGAGATAAATTAAATAAATAATAAAAATTTTGAGCATAAATAAAAATTTGGTTACATAAAAGAAAAATAAGAAGAGAAGAAGAAACAATATTCAAAAGATTTCGCATTCTGATCTGTGGCAAAATAATAGCCAAGTCTTGGCAACTTCCAGGCAGCAGGCGTGAGAAACTAAAAAAGAAACATCACAGGAAAGGACCAATTTGAAAAGTATAACTCATAGCCACCCACCAGCAAACATCTAAATATTTTTTTTTTAAAAAAGAAATTGCAAATTTAAAATCTATTTAGCACCTTGGCTATTGTAGTCGGCGGAACAGATCATGATACGAAAATATACCCACATTTATGTATTATAGAAATTTACAACTTCAGTTTCACTTACTTGTTGACATTATAATTTTCATTTACTTGGAAATATTTTAAAAAGCAAAAAAAAAAATTTACATTATTTTTTTTCTTTTTTGTATTAGCCAAAAATTTTCTCCAGGCCGGCTGAATTCCCTCCAAACCTTTTTCACATGATCAAACATGTTCGGCACCTTGCTTAAGTAGTATGTGCAATTACAGTAGGTTTTTTTCTGATAACTTTTTAATGTACAAGTATCAATTTGCAAATCATAATACTGATATAATAAAACTCCAATTAACATAATAATAGATTTACCTATTATTTACTTTGGACTAGATCAAATAAATGCTACTCAATATACATAATATTTTTAAAAAGACAACATATTAATAAAAGATTTGAATATTCAACTCCAATTGGAAAAAAAGTACTTAACAACTGATAAGAAGTCAGTAGAGAAAAGAAATTTTATAATGCTAAACTCATATTAATCACTTCAGCGGAGAGTCTATTATCCATGTAAGAATCCCAATCTTCTGAATTCACAATCTCTTTTAAATGTAGACAGATGTACTGAATAACCTTTGCTCTAATATATTTATCATCATGTTGATCCACTCGAGCCAAAGTACGACAGGCATTATCCACAGTCAGCTTACTCATTAGCACATCTCCACACAAATTCCTAAGATCTAGAACATTGTACTTGTCTGCAGCATAATACAGCTCATAAGCAGAATCTAGATCTGCAATATCAGACACCTCAGCACTGTACATAAATTCTACAAGTTTCTTCAGTACATCAAATGCTACATCAGTTATATTAACTTCTTTTTGAGTACTTTCTGTCATATCATACTCAAACATTTTAGCAAAAACAGATGATCTAGCAGACAGCACAGCTCTGTGAACAGCAATAGCTTTTCCTTCGCTTGTATTTAATTTAATATCTGTATTTAGAGAATTTTTATAAGCAGACATCAAGTCATTAGAGAGTTTTTTAAGATTGTTAATTCGACATGAAGCGCCACTAGAGCCTAAACTACATACATCCGTTACAGCAACGCCATGAATTTTTAAATAAAAAGAAAGAATCAATTTATCCTGGGGAGCGGATTTTAATTTTGCAAAACATCCACGCATTGTAACATCGGTGAGATCAAAGCGTTCCACACAATCTAGAGTTGTAGATTTTTGATACAAAAGTTGACCATTAACGTCTAAAATACATAAATCGCAATTCACAAACAAATCTTTGCCTGGCAAGCAAAGATAAATTCTGAGATCATCTGAAGCGATTTCAAGCTCTATGTGACTAGTAACTCTAGGCAGTGGATGAAATTCGGCGCTTTTAATTTTACCGATTGGTAGGATTGAAAAATCATCCAATGACCATTTTAACTTGTAAGAATTTAAGGTGGATCTTTTTGTTTTTAAATGGATGTCAAATACTTCATTTTCAAAGACGTTTCCGCAGTTACACTGGTTGCTATCAGTAAAGTTATTTAAGTTTGAACACGCCATTTGTTGATAATTTATGATCGTACTGAAACAACAATATAGGTTTGATAAATAGTTCACAAAAAGTAAATTGAGTAATTAAAGTCGAAAATAATAAACACATTTGTTTATTTTTATTCGAATTTGTAATTACCTAAACGCTTTCGTCTACCTATTTCTGTCAATTTCAGGAGAGTTAAAATTTCGCACATGCGATCGGATAGTCAAAGCGATTTGCGTGTGCGGTAGCAGCTCGTCTTAGGGACTATTCACACTATATGTGGATCACGCATTTCCGATCACCATCTAGGGAGAATGAGCTGAGCGGTAAAATATATTTTATCGTGAAAAACTCTCCAACTAGTGGCCATGGGATGCGTGTGAAATTAATCGCATAAATGTGGGAATGTTTCCTTACACATTTTAATTTTGATGATTTTTAGTTGGTTTGGAATGATTTTAATTGCTTTACCTTCGCAAAATTGAGGAAGAATGTTTCTTCGCTTCGTTGCTGTGTATACACACTACATCATTATCTCTGCATCAAATCCAACAAAATTATTTTCGGTTTTAGAATTTTGAAATATTGCGTTTCCTTTCTACAACAGAAATACATTTTAATTTTTGGATACTTATAATTTATTAAATTTTAGTAAACATTTTATTTAGTAAGAAAATTTAAATACATTTTTTCAATAATAGAAGCATTTTACAAAATTTTGTTTCTATTTTCCTCAAAAAAAATACTATGTTGGATACGGCTATTAATAAGCATTGTTTATTATTTTTAATAAAAAGATGTGAGTGCCACTGCCTGGTATACACAACACTGATGTTTTTTAATGGTAAGTGCCTCTGCCTAGTGTACAGTTGCCCGCTAAGACTTACACTGATATTTTAAGTTTAAATGCCACTGCTGGGTATATATTTGCCTGGTATTCCTCCTACATAGAAAAGTAAGGTTTATAATTCACTCAATAAAACCTTTTTTATATGGTTCACGAGAAACATTTCTCACTTTAAAATGTGGTTTGGACAATCTTCTCGAATCTACGCACATTACCTTAAAACAAAACCTTGAGAAACAAACTTTGTTATAGTACCCTCAAATTAAGGTTTTCCAGCTTGAAAAGATACTTGAATCAAGCTTGTCCTACTGTGAAAATTCTCCTATATCCAGATAATTATAAGATTTCTTTTTACAACGCTTTGTGAAATTAACCAAAATCCACTTTTTCCTAAGACTTTATAACGTCACGTTTCGTAATATTGTCAGACTTAACTTTTACTTTCTACTTCCTGGATTTTTTTAAAAACAAATTTGCTTTGTTATTTCGAGAGAAAAATAGCCCTTTTTCTTAGTTGACTTCCTTTGTTGGTAAAAAAAAAACATTGTGATTTATAAGTAAAAACATTATTTTATAACAGTGATTTTTTATTAACGATTTGAGTTATAAAAAATAAAGTAAATAACATACATCTTGTACTCCAAAAGATAAGTATTTTTCTTCTATATGACTAAGAAATTTCTACGGTGAGGAAAATATAACGTGTTCAACGATACAACGAGGTTCTCAGACGTTAAGTAACTCGCTATCCAATTCATGATTATTTATATAAAATGGTGGTAGATTATAGCTATTATTTAAAACTGTAAAGTGATGTTATTGCAGTTCAGTAAATTGCTAAATTCCAACTCAGTCTTAAAATTTGTTCTGAGAATTTTTACTTTCGTCAGGAATTTAGTGTCATCAGAAGATTCTGTAATTGTCGCGATACATAATTTTGCTATTTTTTTCTCCACTGAACTTCTTTACTTGAGTAATTTCTTAAAAATAACGGAAATATTAAATAATTTATGAATTATCAAATAGATACAAATATGTAAGGGTTATCACTTAAAAATAAAGTTAAACTCGAATTTTAAATTACTTAAAAAAATATTCAATCCGATTTTTAAAGCCAATGAAAAATAAAATTAAATCAAATTTTAAAGTACATCACAATAATTCTCAATTTTATTTTTACGTAAAAATAAACACAAATTATTATTTAAAAACAAAATTTAAATTGCTCAGTAATGCTCAATTAAATTTTTCAATTATTTAAAACGAAATAATGTAGAAAATTTTTATATTTTAGTTTTCCACTAAGTTACTTAAAAATTCAAACTTTCTTTCTGTTTCAATCTTTCTTTCTTCAATCCATCCAAACTTTCTATATTCCTTCATTTTTATTCAAAACCGCCACCCCCCCCCCATAAAAAAAGAAAAGAATACATTTCAGTTTACTTGCAGCCAGTGACTTTGCGTTGGAGACATTATCTCCTGCGAAAGCAAAATATAAACTTTCCAGGCAATTTAAATCTTTTGAATTTGCTTCATTCTCCTCTTATAAAGTGCATAATACATACAAATCAGTTGAAAAAAATGCATGTTTCTTCCGTAAAAACACTTTTGTTTGACAAAATAGGAACTTCTCGCTGTGATTGCAGTTGACTGTTACATTTAATGGCCATTCTTTCAAATTATTCAATAAACAGTTTATGGAATGAAAATTCTATGTATATTTTAAAACTTATTAGAGTGATTAGTCTCTTTATCCATTGAGTTAAAAAGCCATGATCAAAAGACTTCCGCAAAACGCACATTGGATAACTTAGACCTCAACCCCAAAAATGAAATTTATTCAAATACTTTCCAAGTCATAGACTTTCCTCGGGTCACGGTCATTTGGGTCTGGTTCGACCTCGTCAGATTTTGGAGCATTAGTAACAGCAATTAAGTGTGAAAAAATAGGTAATTATTCATAGATTATGGAATTGTTTACACATTTTACGAAAATGGTAATTAATATTATGATAATAACTTAAATTGATTCTCTTCATTACTGTCGGAGCTATTGGAGTCAAATGGACTGTAACGTTTGGTAATTTTTTATTGAATGAAAAGAACGCTGGAAAGCTACGCTTGGCGCATTACAATCTCGACAATAAGGGCGCGGACATCCCGGCCCCCATTGAAATATTCTGCCATTTGAATGTTTCAATGATCATAAAAATAACAACAATCAAAATACAAATTTAAGCAATATTAAAACAATTATTTTTTCACATTTTGAATTCA